TTAGTCACCAGTAACGAAATTAGTAGGAGGAGAAGAAGCGGTGAAACCCCATTTTTTTTCTCCAAACATGGGGCCTGAATTCTCGAAAAAAAAAGAAAGAAACCCCAAAAAACCACTTGCAAAAAATAAACGAAACAAATAAATCATTACGAAAAAGAAAGTTAGGACATAAGTCTCAGTCCTCTTGTGGAAAGTTCCGACGACAATCATTCCAGGATCGTCCTGATCAGTCACTCGAGAACGTTTCTATAAGCTGCTCCATCAAGACGGAGTGTTGACCCCAAAAAAAAAAAAAAAAAAAAGAACCCCCCCCCCCCCCCAAAAAAAAAAAAAAAATTAACGTCCCCCCCCCCCCCAAATCATCAAACTCACATGGCAATCGTTTCCGGCATATATTGCGTGGTTATATCCCACTGAACCGACAGTTCAAGGGATCTCGCCTTCTCTAAAAAAGGTATCGTCACATTGACCTGTAGGTAAAATAAAAGTTTCATCAGCCCCCACATGTATCAAGCGGTAGATGTCGTCGTCTGCTGTGCTGGGATGACAGCATAACGGGTTAGGACGAGGCTTTCAATCATCTTACACTAAATAACACAAACTGTGGACGGACCTGTATCATACCCCTGGCTCTTAATTCGTACAATAACATAAACATCGCACTACCTTTTAAAAAAATCAATCTGAACGGAGTTCAGACGTCACGCATGAAAGCTCACTGCGTGAGTTTTTATTTTACTCAGGACTATTAAAATAAAAAAATAAAAAACACATTGTGAATTGGGGGAAGGAGTATTTCGAAAAGGAAGCAGGACACACCAGAATAATATTTATAATATATATCAGAGATGTGACAGTAGCCCAGGTGAATGACATGAAATCTAATTGTTTTCCCTTTGCAATACAACAGCTTAAATCTTTCCCCAGCCACGGCTTAAAGATTTTGCGGTCAATAACCTTTTTACCTTGAATTCCCAAGAGAGAAACGTCGACAAATGAAACATTACAGCCGGCCTGGTGGTGCTCACGGTCAGGTTTAGCCTGGGAACGGACACCATGAACGTCGTCCCCGTGGAGCTTAGGGCTGAAATGTACAGCAATGGTATAACGAGCGTGAAATGGACTCAATGACCTCAGAGGCCATGTAATACTCTCATTCAAAAAAACAAAACAACATCTTTGTATCTGTGTGGGCGTTTGGGCAAGGGGTGTGTTTGTGTGTGGTGGGGAGGGGTTGGGGGGGGGAGAAGTAGGCCAGAGATTGTTGGTTCCATAAACTGTGGGTACATTACAAAAGTATTCTCATCAAATATTAACAACAAAAAAAAACTTTAGCGTACATTTATTTTTAAAGGGAATGTATGAGTTATGCATCAATGACTTCAGTCCTGATAAATTATCCTGATATTATGCCATAGAGTAAAATTCTAGCAGCTGGCTTAATATGTATACATGTTTTATGTTTTCCAGACGAGATTTAAAACCAAATCAATTCAAACATATATATACATGTCTATATACGTAACATATTAATAGACAATAATAAGTTTGGAGCCAGCTAATAGTCCTAAAGTAAAAATCTGAGGCCTTGTGATTTCATCAATCAAAGTCACACCATCGTCATTCTGTGATGGACAGGTGCCAGTAAAAAAAAAAAAAAGACAATTATTAGGTTTTAAAAAAAAAGTATATTATGTACCCGGAATTTTTTTTTTTTAAATTATCTTCTGGCATCACACTGGTTCTCAAATTAAACACATCGTCATTCTGTGATGGACAGGTGCCAGTAAAAAAAAAAAAAGACAATTATTAGGTTTTAAAAAAAAAGTATATTATGTACCCGGAATTTTTTTTTTTTAAATTATCTTCTGGCATCACACTGGTTCTCAAATTAAACCAAGCATCCGCGCGCTTACCTGAAACTCTGGGCAAAACGGGCCAACACAAACAAAGGAAGCTGAAGGTCTGTTTTGACGTCATTAGCACCTTTTAGGTTTCCAATTAAAGCGCCTTGCAGTTCAATGGAGGGAGTGGGGAGACATTCCCTTGAACGGTATGCAATCTAAAACACCATAGTGAATGTCTTGACGATAAGAGAAAGTTTTATTCAATCACGGATGATGATATTATTACAATAACTCGATTTCGAGTTTATAATATAAATATATTTTGCAATGATATAATTTTTAAAACAAATTTTTCAACTCGCCTTTAAAGACCTTTCAATACACACAGTATTCGATGTCTCAGAAACTTTAACGAGGTTATTGACCAGCCTGCAGAAAATATAAAAGCTGTATAATAATTGAAGGGAACGGTACGAGATTAGAGGGATTGAAAGCGCGGAAGAGCGTCCATATTGTTTTGGAAATGATGTGGCCCTTCATGTCTGTATTTTATTTTAAAGTTTATCTTTGTACGGAATTTCCCAATTGTTACTATATATAAATATATAGAGCCGATATGCAATGCCTTACACATTTCTGACATAAATGCATCATTTTTTTTTGTATCAGGCATGTGTGTGTAGTTGACGGCCGACACTCCCGTCGATGTGTTCAATGCATGTTTCGATATTCGCGTAAGCTGTTGTTGCTTCGTTTTATTATTGTTGTGTTTTTTGTGTGTTTTTTGTTGTTTTTTGTTGTTTTTTTTGTTGTTTTTTTTTTGGGGGGGGGGGTGGCAACGAACGGAAATAGATAATCTATTTTATTCTTAATTTTTTTAATTTTACCACTTCTCATCCATGACGTTATCATTTAAATAGATAATAATAGATATTATGTAATGATTATTTTTATTTGTCAAATGATGTGTACCTTGTGTCAAGGTGAATTCCCGATGGAGCACAAACAGCACGCGCCATCTCAATGAATCCTTTTCACATCCCAAACGCTATTCTTGATCTGTTCGGATCTCCGGATCCAGGTCATTTGCCATGGCCTGTTTCTTTCGCCACTACTCAATCCCAGGAACACACCTTTTCACAACGGCCTTTAGAATTATCGACATCATATCACTAACAACAAGCAACATTGCATTACTAAAATAAGGATTTGGCAATAAAAAAAAAAGGGGGGGGGGGGTAAAGAATATAAGCGTATTGATATTAGTATAAACTTACATCAACACATATAAAATAACACGTAAACATAAAAAGTCAACCAAAAAAATTAAAAAAATCAATATAAACAACAAATCACTAAAAAAAAACAACATTGCATTACTAAAAAAAGGATTTGGCAATAAAAAAAAAAGGGGGGGGGGTAAAGAATATAAGCGTATTGTTCTTAGTATACACTTACATCAACACATATAAAATTACACGTAAACATAAAAAGTCAAGCAATAAAATTAAAAAAATCACTAGAATTTTTACAAACAAGTTTTATTGATTTCGAAATAATTTTTTGAATAAATACTTCATCTTAAATACAATCAGGGTCGGTGCTACGGGGGTAGCAAGTGGGGCGATCGCCCAATCCCCCACGCTTTTTTGGGGCACCGTGCGTAGCCCTTAAAATATCATATGACCGTGCCCATTCATAGTTAGAAATTTCCAGTCAACACACTGTTCGGAGGTACAAGATAATCAAATGAACGGTCTGCATTTTCCAGTATTATCCCCCCCCTCCTCCCCCCCCCCCCCCCCCCCCCCCCAAAGTTCAATAGCGTGAAGACCTTTAAAAAAAAACGATTCTCAAAGTCTGGCCCACGGTCCTAATCTAGCTCGCGACACCACTTCAATTGGCCCGTCTAAGATTTCCTAAATATGTTTTTAAAAAAACATCAGAACATTCAATTTGACCAAGGTCTGGCACAACCCACCCCTCCACTCACGCAATCCCAAACGCCGGCCCTGATGTGATCTATTATACAATATTTTAAAAAGTGCACTGGAAAACAAAAGTGAAATGAGGATGTGATTTCCTTATTAAGATTTTTTAATTTCATTTATTCAATCTTTCTTCACCGTCATAGCAAATTCTGTTTTGTGTTAAAACCCTAATTCAAATGCGGACTAAAGATATATATATATATATATATATATATATATATATTTATTTTGGTTAGAAAGATTTATGGGGCTATTAGCAAAAAACAGAAGTTTAAAAGACAAGAGTCTGTCGGCGATGTTAAAGCAGGCAAATGGGTTGCAATATTCTCAAAGTTTCACAGGACATTATTGGTCACCACACCTACCACGACAGACGGAGTCAGTCATCTCACAGTTCAACAATAAAAGAACTATCCCAAAATATTCACACTATATTCAATCAGAAAATCACATTAAAAAAAAACCCGATCCTCTTAGAAAGCGTTTAAAAAATCTTTTATTTACAAATTTATTTATTGTGAACAGTGTGAACATGTAGCTAAAACACAATTTAAAAAAAAAAAAAACGAGCATTGTCTTAAAATGGATGGTGAGCGAAACGGCGCACTTCCTTTAAAAAAAAAAAATGTGTTTCTAGACTGATTTATTCACAGTAATATAATGTCTGTGTTATAACAATTTTTTTAAAATAAAAAAATTTGAATATGGTGTCGATTAAATAAATTCTTTAAAAATAATAAATAGAGACAGTGAATAGTTCAATCATGTTTTGGAATAACCATAGCGAAACGTGCCGCTGAACAAAATGGAATTATATAACCGATTTATCAAATTATACAGTGGAGACGGCCATCTCATAAGTTATTGCATGATCCTCAAAAAGCTGTGATGAATTTTACGGAATTCTAGATGGCTTATAAACAATTGTCATTTAAATGTCAACTAGTGGCAACTTAACAAGTTGAAATATCACATACGTTTGGGCATGATGGATTTGTTTACTTTAATTAAATAAAGTACATAACACTTTCTAAAATGTGTTTTAGTACATCAAATAAATATACGTATTTAAAAACATTTGTATACATAACTTTATAAATATAACCATGTGAAGTTTGTTTATATATTTTTTTTTTTTAATTAGAGATGGGTGAACTGATAATTCAGACAACAATGATTTGGTGAACTGATAATTTAGGCCACAAGGATTTGGTGAACTGATAATTTAGGCCACAAGGATTTGGTGAACTGATAACTTAGACAACAATGATTTGGTGAACTGATAATTCAGACAACAATGATTTGGTGAACTGATAATTTAGGCCACAAGGATTTGGTGAACTGATAACTTAGACAACAATGATTTGGTGAACTGATAATTTAGGCCACAAGGATTTGGTGGACTGATAACTTAGACCACAAGGATTTGGTGAACTGATAATTTAGACCACAAGGATTTGGTGGACTGATAACTTAGACCACAACGATTTGGTGAACTGATAATTTAGACCACAAGGATTTTCTGACGTCCGGTCCAGCAGGGTGTCGTCATACTAACAAATCTCGCATCTTTTCGTCGTCAAACTCTTTGGGTTTCTCCTCGCTTGTTCAAGCGACGCCCTCGTCGCATGAGCGGGAAGTTCTTCAAACTTGAGCAGCGACAGCGCTCTTAGTAAATGCGTACCGTCCTCTTCAGTTATTTCCCCCCCGAGCCTTCGCTCTTGTTGCTCCTCTGGCTCTTGTTGCTCCTGGTGCTCTTCTTGGACGTCACCGAACCGGTCGACACTTTCCGGATCTTGGGCGGGGAGGGTGGGTCCACCGAGGTCCCCCAGCCCGAGAGCCGCCGGACGCGGACGACCTCCACGGGCGTGTGGACGTCGATGGCCACGTGGGTCTCGTCGGGGACCACGACGAAAGGCATCTCCACGGACGGGGCCGGCCCCACGTCAATATCCGGGGTGGGCGCCTGGGGGTCTTCCGAAGCCTTTTGTCGCCGAACTCTTTTGTGGAGGAAACAAATGAAGAGGGGGTGAGTGGGTAGGGTGGTCGAGTTGAGAGGGGGTGGGGGATAAAGGAAGGGGGGAAAAATTGTTAACATGAAACCACATGAGCACAAAAAAAAAAATACACCTTGGACGATAATAAAAATACTTGCGATACATATAATATCTTTAGGATATATCGAATCGAATACATTTAGTAATCATTTCACTCATTTAGGATATATATAATCGAATATATTTAGGAATCCTTGAACATATTTAGGATATATAATCGAATACATTAGGTAAACATTGAACACATTTAGAATATATCAAATACTAAGTAAACGTTGAACACGGTTGGGATATTTCGAATACATTCGGTAGTCATTGAACACTTTTAGGATGTATCGAATACATTAAGTAAACATTGAAAACATTTAGGATACATCGAATACATTCAGTAAACATTAAATATATTTGGGATATATCGAATGCATTTAATAAACAGTGAACATAGTTGGGATATATATATGGAAAACAATTGGTAAACATAGAACACATTTTAGGATGTATCGAAAAAAATTGGTAAACATTAAAAACCTTTGGGATGTATCGAATACATTTGGCATATATTTCAAAAGACATGATAAACATTTGAAGACCGCTTAGGTACATTTCAAGACAGCTAAAGTAAATTTAAAGACAGCTGAGGTACATTTGAAGACAGCTAAGGTACATTTGAAGACAGCTGGGGTACATTTGAAGACAGCTAAGATTCATTTGAAGGCAATTAAGGTATGTTTGAAGACAGCTGAGGTACATTTGAAGACAGCTGATGTACATTTGAAGACAGCTGCGGTACATTTGAAGACAGCTGCGGTACATTTGAAGACAGCTGGGGTACATTCGAAGACAGCTGATGTACATTTGAAGATAGCTGAGGTACGTTTGAATAGACTTGAGGAAGCATTAAGCCTTTGAACACGGAACATCCATTACTAAATTAAATTTCCTCTCGAGTGCCTGCTACATTCAGGGGGAAACACGGCCACAGTACGAAAGTGATTTGTTCCCTCCCCTCTCCCGGGCCACCCACAGAATCTAGCCCTGAAGTAACAAAATTGTCAATGATATCAAATCCGGTTCACATTAGACAATTCAACGAGGAAAATGCTTAGACTATCATACGTTAGAAGAATAATGGTGGAAACTGTATACATTTTTTTTAAATTTCATGTATGCACTCTTGAAGAAAAGAGCGTGTCTGCTCCATTTATTTTGTTTAAACGACATGTTTTCGGTCGTTGCTTTATTAAAAGTCTTAATATTACATGAATATAAATTTATTATTTCGCCGGACAAACAATTTAAAATAAACAACAACAAAGCTATTCTCAAATGAGATCAGAGATTAAATAAAACAAAATTAAACAATGGCCCTTTTGGCCAACACCCAGCTACAGGTAATACGCTAATATACTCACGACATGTAGATGAGCAGTCCCAGTGGGATGAGCAGCAGCAGGACGATGGCGTAGATTGCATTGGAACCCTCTGGCTCTTTGTCCACTGTGCCAAAAGTAATAGACAAGGACATGTTCATGTTTTAAAAACAAATATTTTTGTTCAAGAAATAAATTTAGTTACTCCTGACGGAAATTCGTGTCCGGGTGTAAGGGGACCCAAAGGCGTAGCGATGGGGGGGCAGGGGGGAAGATGTCGCCGGGCGCAAGCTAGTTAGGGGCGCCAAAATGTGATTTGATATTATATTATTGGTAAAAATAATGGGTTTGAGAGTTGAAAAAAAAGAAAAGGGGGCGCTTTCAAATGGATCTTGTCCCCGGGCGCGAATCTTGTCCCCGGGCGCCAAACACCCTCGCTACGCAACTGAGGGGACCCACAAAAAATAAGGGGGGTTGGAGTTGGTTTGGTTTGAGGGGGGATAATTAGTGAAGCCTAAATTATTTTTTTATGTACGTTGTTTTTAAGAGGCTAGTGGTATTTTGACCTCCCTTACTTTAATCCTTTACTAATACTCTTATAGTTTATTTTTATTTCGTTATTCGAATGGTTAAAGCATTTGACCCATTTAGGAATCTAAAATTACAGTGGCATATTTAGTACATTGAGCCAGTTCTTGAATCGATTCAAAAAAGGGGGGAATGAATGTTTTGATGTTCTAGCATTGCTATTGTAAAAAAACCATTACAAGGGGAAAAAAATAAAAAAAATTATAGAACTGTAATCAGGCCAGTTGTGACATACGCATTAGAAATTTGGACCCTAACAAAAACGGCAGAAACACACGGGAGGAACATGTTCTCATCAAAATACATGGACTAACAAAAGGATGAATAAGGATGGAGAGTACGAACCAACCGGAAATTGTATAGTCTATATCCAGATCCTACGCTAGTAGCAGAAATAACAAATAGCAGAAAATGTAGAAAGAATGCCAAATGACGGCGGAGTGACGAGTGTGCACCGCAAAAACCCAATAGAAGGACAATGGCTCAAAGGCAGACCTAGGCTTAATTGGATGGATTAGGTTGAAACAGGTCTACAGCAGCTGGGAATCCGAGCATAGAAAAGAAAAAGCATCAGTTAGGTCTGAGTGGAAGGAAGTGATAAGGTAGGCCAAAGCCCTGCATGTGCTGCTGCACCACAGGGATGGGATGGATGGTATTGCTATAGGACTGAGTTAATTTGTTCCACCTACCTGTTGGTGGGACCGTCTCCGGCTTCTCAGAGGATGTGTCAGTTCCTGGGAGAAACAGATGAGATTACGTTTAGAAACTTAGCTAGATCAGTTGTAAAGGAGGGAAGGCCCTATAGGATTTAACCGAGAATCTCATGACGGAACTGTGTATCTTTCGTGACTGGCCTAACTGGAACTGCATAGTTTTTTTTATGGAATGTGTAGTTTTGTTTCTTTTTACTGTTGTTTATTTTAAAATGAGAACTTTTACACACACATGTTTACTTTTCAAAGTGATCATATTCGCAATACAACCGCATCAAATTTCATGTTCCTTGATTCGTAGCTTCTTTGAACTGACATATTTTGCAAAGATACTAGAAATATTGGGACTATTTAATAAACATTTGCCGTAATTTTAAAAAAAAATTAACACCAAATTTTTTGTTAAAAGCGCAAAACCTTATTGTTTTCTTTTAAAGATACATTAAGTGGGAATTGGAGTTACTTGGATGTTGGCTTTAGAAGTATAGAAGCTTTCAGGAAAATGGTTTCATATAAGGCTCTAAGACTATTTTAAGTAATATACTCGGATCGCTTCTCGGCTTTTTGTCATAGATCAGGGTGTAGTATCTGTTCTTATCCCCCCGGCCCAAACAAACCCTTGGGAGGAACGTGATACCTCGCCTCGTTTAAGGCCAAGTGACCCACCATGGTAGACTTTGGTGGGGACTGCTCCAGTATTACAGTACTTCTGAGGGAACCCTTCCAAACAAAAAAAAATTAATCAACACACCGGGCAGCCATCTAAGAGGCAGTGCCACAACTAACGAAGATGTAACATAGAGCGGTCGATGACCAGTACGCTATCTGAAATTCTCTCACAAATTCCCATACCTTCTTTTTAGCCCGGTCGCTGAAATAATCCCATCTTGCGGCTTGTTCGTCGAGTTTGTTATACATGGAGGCGACTCACTGCTACGTTTATATTGGGAATGTATTTTCGTGCGCATTTTAATTTAAAAAAAAAAAAAAGAAAGACCGGGCCACAAGCGTGAAACATACCAAAGGTGGGGTCCGTGTTAAAGTAGGCATCGGTCGGCGTCACTGGAATGAGAAGAATCAATTAAAGCCAGACACGATGCAGTGTAGTGTTCTCACTTAACACCCAATACCAGTCAGAAAAAAGACGGTCATATAAGTAGCTTTATAGCTCAGACACGGTAATGGTACGTCACAAAGTCTAACATTATACATTATACAGTTTACCTACAACGTGCACATATACGACTTCAGTCACACTTTTCAGATTTTCTTATTCTTGCCTACTTACAAAACACTGGCGATATCCTCGGAACAAAACGCAAAACAAAAACTAAATAATACAAACATTTTTTTAATTTTTTTTTTTTAAGGATATTAAAAGAGACATTTTGTAGAGCGCAGAGCGTCATCTCGGCAGGGAAACAAGTCATGACGTAACGTGTTTTCCATGTGTCGAATTGAACGATGGTTTCTGGGGCTTTTATACACTTGTTTAATCGGAAACCGTATTTATGTACATATGATACAATTCTTATTCGTCTTCATTCGAGACCAAGTCACCCGGCTTGATGGCCCCAGTCACCCGGCTTGATGGCCCCCAGTCACCCGGCTTGTTGGCTCAAGTCACCCGGCTTGATGGCCCAAGTCACCCGGCTTGATGGCCCCAGTCACCCGACGTATTTATGTACATATGATACAATTCTTATTCGTCTTCATTCGAGACCAAGTCACCCGGCTTGATGGCCCCAGTCACCCGGCTTGATGGCCCCCAGTCACCCGGCTTGATGGCTCAAGTCACCCGGCTTGATGGCCCAAGTCACCCGGCTTGATGGCCCCAGTCACCCGGCTTGATGGCCCCAGTCACTCGTCTTTATTATTCCAGTCACTCACTCGTCTTTATGGTCCCATTTTCCAAGCACTCGTCTTTGTGGCCACAGGCACTCTTGCTTATTACTCCAGTCAATTGTCTTGATGGCTCCAGTCACCCGTCTCTATGGCCGCAGTCGCTCGCCTTCATTTCCCATGTTTTACTTACCTGAAGGTAGCCTGAATGTTGTGATGTTTTACTTACCTGAAGGTAGCCTGAATGTTGTGATGTTTTACTTACCTGAAGGTAGCCTGAATGTTGTGATGTTTTACTTACCTGAAGGTAGCCTGAAGGTAGCCTGAATGTGGTGATGTTTTACTTACCTGAAGGTAGCCTGAAGTTGCTGATGTTTTACCTACCTGAAGGTAGCCTGAATGTTGTGATGACATCAACTGTAAATATGGAAACGTAACTTTAAACCACGAACGAAGCTCAAAGAATTGACAATCATTCATCAATACAACTACTCATTTCGGAAGTTAAAATGAAAATGCATTGGACCATACGTCGCATGTGAATTAACTTTGGTCTGTAACGGTGTTTTGTTTCTTTGATCGAGAAGAGCCCATGTTTTTGGTTTTTTTTTTTTGAATAAAGGAAGTTTAAAATCGTGATACGGTTTCTTTTAAACGTATGCACAGACATTGCGATCTCTTCGGTACTTCAGTGCTTTCCATTTAGACCGATTGTCAGCGGGTCGTACTGCGGCCAGCTTTGTGGACGACACAACCACAGCGGATGGTGATGGTGGTGAATGCTTTTAACTACTGTACGCCAATCGCTTTTGGCGTGGGGGGGTCTATACCATGCTTGTGGGGGCGGGGGTCCCTCTATTTTATGTGGGTGGGGGCGGGGAGGGGTCAAACTCTGGACAAGCTAGGGGAAATGGCCATTAGTCTTGGCACATCCCTGAACATGAATTGGGAAATGAGGTTACAACAAGCCAATCTGCAATCAACTCAACAAAGTCGCCAGCGCCGAAAGACAATTTTTAAAACCGAACGACACGCTGTGAAACATTAAACTGAAGCTGAAAGGGAAAATGAACGAGACGCCGTGTTGGTCTTAAAGCAAGTTGGGGTAATCTTTATCTACCTCAACGATGAGGCCCAGAACACGTTATAACTGTACCCCGGGCTCGGTGAATAGGATGAAGAAATATTTAGATTATTATCAGCGACGCAATGTTTCAGCATTTCTATCAGCAGCCGACCACTGCGGCGTGAAAGGTTGGCGAGATGGGTGATGTCCGCACAGAGGAAGGCCCGGGTGTCCAAACCTAGAAATGAGTGTGTCCTACATAGAGATAGAAGAAACCTTGAGGAGAATCCAAACAGACCAGGTTCGCTCTTTGAGGTGTCTTCCGCCTCTACCGCGGCTGGACCCGAACCGAAACAGTACTGTTTCCAACCGTCTTCTTCTCCTTCTGAGTTACTGACCGTGGCTTCTTCCATTGTATCAGAAATAGTATGCATTAAACGAATGGCATTTTTTCACCTGAAGGGCGAACACTGCCGAATCAAATTCTATGTGACACAAAAACCATATCAAGATATGGAGTTCAGACTTTTTAAATTTACTCCAACTAGTCTCCAATTTCCCCGCGTGCAGTTGACGGGACCTAGTATAGGAGTAGAATGAGTCAGTGCCAAGCAAGCACGTCGTACGAGGCGACTTCTTGTGTCATGCTTTGCATTGGGGCTAGCAACCTATTCATTGCAAGAAAGTCGACAACCAGATGAAAACAGCCACAACCCATAAACGTTTGCCACCAACCCAGTGAGGGTGAGCGCTTATAAAGGCATTACGACGCTGGTAGGCCAAACCCATGAGGGAGCCGACTTGCCGACATCCTGTCCGACAGTGAGGAAAAGTTCCAGGATTGGCACCTGGAATGTTAGAACGATGTGGGAGGTGGGGGAGACAAAACAAGTGACTATGGAACGGAGGAGATAGAGAGTAGACATCTCAGCAATAAGTGAGGAAAGATGGACAGGAAACCAAGCGCTGACATCACAAGACAGGCCCTGAGCTGGAATCCTCATGGTACCAGGAGAAGACGAAGACCAAGAGCCACTTGGAAGAGAGGAGAAGAGATAGAGGTGAAGAGAATAAAGAAAAGCTGGGCTGAACTTTGAAGATAGCCCAGTATACGGACAGATGGAAAAGCATTGTGGATGGCATATTCTAATGGCTAAGAAGAAGAAGAAGAAGTCCCCAATTGAAATTAAGGATAATTAGGGGAGAGACTGCAATCAGGCTGTCCTCGCGGATACAACTTTTCAGCTATGTGTTATTCTTTATTGAAATCTGTCTTTACTGTTGTTTGTTGGCTGGTAAAGAAGGCTTCTTTTCGAAACGTTCATTGTTGTTTACCTTGTTTTTTCCATACTTTGTTTCGCTCAGTTCGAATTGAAATTAATACAACTTGATTATATTTTTTTAAGTTAGTATTTATAAAAATTATATTCCATTTTATTACAACTAAATTCAAAATAAGAACAGTTTCTTTGTTTTTCAAGGACGCTCCTTTCTTCAATTTAAGTGGTCATCAATTAGTAAGCTAACAAGTAAGTTGTGACTTGGCTCATGTAGCTAACAAGTAAGTCGTGACTTGGCTCATGTAGCTAACAAGTAAGTCGTGACTTGGCTCATGTAGCTAACAAGTAAGTCTTGACGTGGCTCATGTAGCTAACAAGTAAGTCTTGACGTGGGTCATGTAGCTAACAAGTAAGTCTTGACGTGGCTCATGTAGCTAACAAGTAAGTCTTGACGTGGCTTATGTAGCTAACAAGTAAGTCTTGACGCGGCTTATGTAGCTAACAAGTAAGTCTTGACGCGGCTTATGTAGCTAACAAGTAAGTCTTGACGTGGCTTATGTAGCTAACAAGTAAGTCTTGACGCGGCTCATGTAGCTAACAAGTAAGTCGTGACGCGGCTCTTGTAGCTAACAAGTAAGTCGTGACGTGGCTTATGCAAAGCTTATAATAAAACCTACCGACTATTTCTCCTGTGTTATTTGTTGGTAGCATACCTAGTAGAAAGAGAAAAACAAAAACAATTGCACACACAGAAATCAATGTTAAACGCATTAAATGGTAATAAAAAAAATTAAAAAATTGATACCATCACGACCAGATACACCCCCGCCCCCCAACCATTCCCCACCGCCCTACACACACTTTCTGTTGACTCAGTGAACATTCCATACCGCGAAATTCTTCCTTTATTTTTTTTTTAAGACACCGTGACCACGTGACCTTGATGCCGTCTTATTAAATATCATTCGCATTGGTTCCGCCCATTTTTTTTGTCAACCACCGTTTGCGACCACTGCTGCTGTCCCCATCACGTTTTTCTGCTACTGGTAATAACCTGTCGGCTGGACATACGAACGGTTAAAGGAAATCAGGAACGCCTCATCGTTGCGGGATTTTCCGTACTGTAAATTGTGTCGCGTGGCGTACACATAATGGGTTAGTGTTTGTCATCTTTTCAAACCCCCCATCTAGCTCTACTACATTAACGGGTACTCTGGTTAGGAATGATGATTCAGAGGGCATAAAAAAACATAATAATAATAATAATAATAACAAAGAGGATGTAAGAAGCGGTACATCGATGATCTAAAAAGTCATATTAGTGATCTTCAAGTAACATCAACTCTACAAAAGTCGCAATGGATGAAAAAAGGGGCAAAAACCTCTATGCATAAACAACTAAACGGAATAAAGAAATTTTAAATGAAGAAATGTGTAATGAACGGTTTTTTGTACATACCTAACGTTGTGACAACTGTGGGGGCGGAGGGGGGGGGGAGAACATAAAAAAAGTAATATCAATTCATAATTAAGAAGTTTACTGATGACAACTTTTTGTTGTATACACTGGTTCAATAGAGAGCTCAAAGTATATGCACTGGTTCAAGATAGAGCTCAATAGCATATACACTGGTTCATTAGAGAGCTCAAAGTAAATGCACTGGTTCAAGATAGAGCTCAATAGCATATACACTGGTTCAATAGAGAGCTCAAAGTAAATGCACTGGTTCAAGATAGAGCTCAATAGCATATACACTGGTTCAATAGAGAGCTCAAAGTATATGCACTGGTTCAAGATAGAGCTCAATAGCATATACATTGGTTCAATAGAGAGCTCAAAGTATATGCACTGGTTCAAGATAGAACTCAATAGCATATACACTGGTTCAATAGAGAGCTCAAAGTATATGCACTGGTTCAAGATAGAACTCAATTGCATACACACTGGTTCAATAGAGAACCAGGTATGGGTAGCAGTTGGGCCTGAAACCCTCGGTGAATTAGGTCTGCCTACCAAGTGCATGCAAAGGCTGGACGTCGACGGATCCTGCGAAGGAGACCATTTAGGTCCAACGGAGATGAAGGCGACTACAGCAACGCACCGTGGAGTGTGTACAGCAAGAGGAGGCACGGAGAACATCTTGGTCATCCACTGCATCTGTACCCATCTACGGTCCTCTTGACTTAGGCTTGCCACTGGACACGGTGGGTCCGGACGAGAGAGTGAGGTTGACGCTGCGCAACTCTTCCCCACTTTAAACAAAGTCACCCGCGCATGTCATCAGTCATCCAACTTTACCCATCATCACAAGTCTCGTGGCAACAGCTGAGACACGCAGGCTGGCCCGAAAGAGCAACATTAGGTCACCGTCTGCAGCAACAATCCCCTGCCCGCAGTGCCAGAGATTATTTCGAGCACGAATCAGTCTAGCAAGCCACCTACGTGCTCACCGTAACCCACTCTGCCCCTAACCGGATGACTCGATGGTCCTAGTCGATTTCGACGGACGAACAACAGAGAACTCAATAGCATATACACTGGTTCAAAGAAGAACTCAATCTCGTAAACACTGGTTCAATAGACAACCCAATCTTGTATACAGTGGTTTAATAGAGGACTCAATCGTGTACATGCTAGTACAGTGGAGAACTCGCTCAGCAGAGCGCTGCATTGATGTATGGAGCTGTTAAAAACTGAATTCAACTTTTGGTGCCTTAGAAAACATAGTAAAGGTATGACATTGCATAGAAATGGTCCACCCACTGAAGACGATTATGACTAAAGATCCGCCCATGAAACGTGTAATGACTAAATAGGTCCACCCCTGAAGCGTGTAATGAATAGATAGGTCCGCCCTGTAGCGTGTAATTTCTAAATAGATCCGCCCCTGAAACGTGTAATAACTAAATAGGTCCGCCCCTGAAGCGTGTAATGACTAGATAGGTCCACCCTGAGCGTGTAATGACCAGATAGGTCCACCCCTGAAGCGTGTAATAACTAAATAGGTCCGCCCCTGAAGCGTGTAATAACTAAATAGGTCCGCCCCTGAAGCGTGTAATGACTAAACAGGTCCACCACTGAGGCGTGTAATGACTAAACAGGTCCACCACTGAGGCGTGTAATGACTAAATAGGTCCACCACTGAGGCGTGTAATGACTAAACAGGTCCACCACTAGGCGTGTAATGACTAAATAGGTCCGCCCCTGAAGCGTGTAATGACTAAACAGGTCCACCACTGAGGCGTGTAATGACTAAACAGGTCCACCACTGAGGCGTATAATGTCTAAATAGGTCCACCCCTGAAGGGTGTAATGACTAAACAGGTCCACCCCTGAAGCGTGTTATGACTAAACAGGTCCGCCCCTGAAGCGTGTTATGACTAGATAGGTCTGCCACGTAACTTGTTATCACTTTGTGGCCCTCCTTGAGTTTTTTTGTTTTGTTTTTTTTTTTGGTTATTTTTTATGTACATGGATGCGCCCTTGACGCCTCTTCTGACTCAAAGATCCGTCCCTGGGCTACGTCCGTGATCTGAACGTGCTCACCTTCCGCGGTCGTCATTTTCTCGTGGTCAAAGCATTCGAAGGGTAAGATGGCCGGAAGCTCCTGCTCGGTCTTGTTGGACGCCATGGTCGCATTGGTGTCCATCGTCTTATTAGACCCCATCATGGTCCCATTACCGCTTTCCATGTTCATAGGCATGTCCGTAGGCAACGGGCAGCCCTTCGGAATAAAAAAAAAAAAAGAGAAAGATTAACAATTTTATAAGGGGGGAGAGGGACAACTTAATACATCATAGTTGTTTTAAAAAAAAAAAATAATAATTAAAGTGTGCCGAATGGATTCGATGAATTGCTGCAGTGATGTTATCTGGTTGATTCGGTGCATCGCTATAATGATTTTCTCTAGTCGAGTATGTCACTCAAGTCCAGCACATGCAAGGGTTCTCAACTACAGCCCGCGTCGATGATGTTCTTCTGTTTTGAGCAAAAGACATGCTTCCTTTCCTCCAACGATGTCATCAGAGCATTTGATTTAATTACTAAGTGATTGCTCTTCGGTTGCCAGGCCGTGCTATTATTACCTCGACTCCGATGCCAGTTAAACCGACTACATAATTTATAATCAAGCAGACACGTGATATGAACGAAAGAACCCGTAATAAAACCCAATCTGTGTAAAAAAAATAAAATAAAAAATCATATTTTAGCGTCGTTAATTAAATTCAAATAAAATAAAATATTTTGTAATTTTTTGGTAATTTTTTGTTTGTTTTTGTTGTTTTGTTTTTTTGTTTTTTTGTTTAAGTGACGGACTAGAAATAACCTGCCCAAGAAAATGGCGGCAGTATGCTTGAACTTCCGGTCAACTAAACTGACTCGAATAAAACATGCATTCATTGAAGGCATTTAAAAGAAACCCAAATAGTTCTAAATTATGGAAAATATTATTTCTCGCTCCTGTAGGAACGTATTTTCACAGATATACTTACATACGCACCTCCCAAGAGACTTAATATTTTTCATCGTCTTATTCCATTACTTATAGGTTTTTTTGTTGTTTTTTTATGATTCAAATTTATTCTTTCTGCACCGTACGAAAAAAACCAATATAGAAATTGTGTGAGAAGAGGAAAAAAGATGGGACATTTTTTTTCAAATGTTTCACTAAAAAGTCCTTTCACAATATATATATATATTTATTTTTTTTAATATAAGTTTATGAATATAGTTGCATTACTGCGGTGTGAATGTGTACCTTTTTTTTTGTTTTCCTTTTCTTTAAAAGTCCTGCCAAAAAGGGGAGTTGACTCTTAATTAATATACGCTACAACATTATCACTGGTTAAGGGCCTTTAATTTACGACGAAAATATGCGAGACGGTTTTAAAAAAAAATAGTTATTTTGTTATTTTTTAATTTCTTTTCTCCGTAACTTAATGTGCCTGAAAATCATGAAATTCGTTATTTCCCCCCCCCCTCCCACCCCATGTCACTTAATGTGACCCTTAACATGCTCTTCCATCTAGCTAGAGATTCTAGGGGAGTCAGCAAGGTGGCCCTACTCTTTGATAAACAAAATAACATTTTTTTTTTCCTCTTACGTGGAAGCCAGCGGCGTACATGTAGGAGGTGTTGACCCCGAAGCCGTAGAGGTAGGCGGCAAACTTCATCATGGTGGTGGTCTCCAGCCAGTGGTCCCCCTCTGTGGTCACCACACCGGCCACTTTCAGCGTTGATTCGTTCACCGATGACCAGATGACGGCCGTGGGGAACCTGGAAATATTTATAAAAAATCGGCGGTAAGAAGCCGGGGGGATATAACCGGATGTTTATAGCATGTTGGCAGAGCTCGTGTATACAGCCAGGGGGTATAACCGGATGTTTATAGCATGTTGGCAGAGCTCGTGTATACAGCCGGGGGGTATAGCCGGATGTTTATAGCATGTTGGCAGAGCTCGTGTATACAGCCGGGGGTATAGCCGGATGTTTATAGCATGTTGTCAGAGCTCGTGTATACAGCCGGGGGGTATAACCGGATGTTTATAGCATGTTGGCAGAGCTCGTGTATACAGCCGGGGGGTATAACCGGATGTTTATAGCATGTTGGCAGAGCTCGTGTATACAGCCGGGGGGTATAACCGGATGTTTATAGCATGTTGGCAGAGCTCGTGTATACAGCCAGGGGGTATAGCCGGATGTTTATAGCAT